ACACACCCCCCGAAGAAGCCCCCTCCACCGCAGCCGCCACATCCAACCGGATCCCCAGTCCCCCCGCCGCACCCTCCTTCCCCCCTCCTTCCATCCCAGGTCCAGGCCCATCCGCTCCAAGCCCCGACCAGCGCCCGCCAACTTCCCCCACGGCGTACAGCCACGCCCCTGGCGCACCGGCGCCCTACCCCCCTTACCCAGATTACCACGCCCCCGCCCATACCACCCACGCCCACGCTCACCCCCCGACCGACGGCCCCGCCTCTCGACCAGGCACGGGGCCCCTGACACCCCCGCCTTTACACCCCTCTGGTCCGGCGTACGACGCACGTCAGACTCTGCCCAGTCGGGTCCCTGGTGGGCCGGGCGGGCCGGGCGGGCCGGGTAGTCCGCCGTTGGGAAGTACTGGAGGACACCAGTTCCAGTCTCATCCGCCGCAACCGCAGTATAAGGCTTATGTACCGCCTGGGTCGGGACCGTCGGGACCGGTTGGCCCGGCTGGTGGGGTGGGTGGACATGGTGGTGAGGGGGTTCATGGACCCGGGGGACCGGGGGGCCCTGGGGGACCGTCGGCGCCGGGGGCGGAGGGGTATTATCGGACTGCTGCTTATTAGGGGGGCAGGTTATCAATGTTAGTTGAGCTGAGTTAGGGTAGTGGGTAGTAGGATCAGAGGACGATAGGGAAAGGGAGAAGAACTGACCGGACGGGCATAGACGGAGGGTGGGCGGGTGGTGGTTGTGTTGTCTGTGTCGGAATGATGGTGACTGGGTAGGTGGAAGAACGAACCGACGGGCGGACAGATGTACGGGCAGATGGATACGTGCGGACGATCTGTTCGTGTTCCTCATTAGCCGTGGACAATCGATAGACGGCCGAGGTTAGTTGGTTAGTTGGTTAGTTGGTTAGTTGGTTAGTTGGTTAGTTGGTTAGTTGGTTGGTTGGTTGGTTGGTTGGTTGGTTGGTTGGTTGGTTGGTTGGTTGGTTGATGATGTTTGGCTAGCTTGGGCGACGGCTAATTCTTTACTACCTACATACCTACATACCTACGCATAGTGTTCTTTTTTGGGGATTTCATTATCTTACTGGATTATTGTTACGTTAGAGTAGGGTACTAGTAGGAGTGAGTGGCGGTAACGGTAACGAATATATGATACATGAGTTTATACATTGTAGTGTACCCCTTCCAGGGCTCGGGTTTTAACTTTGATCTTTGTTATATCACGCAAGATTTGAGGGGTTTTCATGAGTGTGAATGACACCACGGGCAGTTTCTTCACGACGCCGCTCCTTGTTTGTCTCTTCTTTTTCTTGTAAGTCGTTGTTTTGAGGCTGTTTCGTTGTGAATAGGTTCCGGTTGTGGGAATGGGAAGGTGATTCGGCATAGCACCGTCATATCTCTGTTTCGTCTGCTTTTGGCTGGATAAATTGATCATAGATTGACATGTTTAAGTCTCAGGGTGTGGTACACTGGCACTGGTATAACTCCATAGTATTTTACGCAACCCCCTTGAGAGATACTTACTGTTTAGTTGTTGTCATGTGTTGTCCGGGCGTTGTGAGCTATGTAAATGATGTCTATTCCACTGCCTTCTCACGTTTGTAAACTTAACTCCCAAATAACACTCCTTTTTTTGCCCTCTGGAGATTCCTCTGTAATTGAAAGACTAGTTGACAATGACAAAGTGTCTCTGTGGCGTGAAGCTGTGTCCTGCCGTCGGTGTGAATGTCATTATTTACTCCCGTGTTGTTTACCCATTACCCCCTTTCTTCGTCTGGTCCGAAATTCATCGTTCACCTTCAGTTGTTGACTAGTTAGCGTGCTTCTCTGTCTCGTCTACATCCTGTTCCCCGTGAGGCTCCCTTTCGGCGGGTTATAAATCATCATGGAAAGTTGTAGTTTTCCATCACACCACAACAATTATCTAGAAGTAGGAAAGATCCATTCGAAAACACCAAGAGGTTCATTCACATTGGTTGCCTCCCCTCTCGGCTCTTGCCTCCGCAACAGTTGCCTTCCTTGCTCGGGTTATGGATGTTGTTTTTTGCTCCTTGAGACACAACCTCTCCATGCAAGCCATTCCACACAAGAATTTACTGCACATTGTCGATGGAACCAGACCTTTCCAGACTCCCGCACTGAGCCAGGCGGCCATAGGTATACTAGGCCACCTGATTCACAATTCCATCGCACATTTCTATTCCTATTCCTATCACACAACATCAGCAGGCACTTGGAGTTTCTGGCCCCAATTCTGAATCAAGAACGTTGGTCTGGGTCGTGATTCCACTTTCGCAGGGGAAACGACAATATCAACCCTCTCTCACCACTCACCTTGAGCGTTGTTTAATTTCGATATTTGGCCATCACCAAGTTTCGTCCCTGCTTCCTCGTTCCTAACCGCCAACCCCCTCTTCTCCTACTATCACTTTCTATAAACTCTGAGGGTTCATCTTCCAAAACATATCGTGCCATTTACCACCCACGTACTTCTGCCTTTCCCTTTCTCCGGGAAAGTTTCGCCAACACCATCAAGCATCGTTCGGCTTTATCATTCCATTGACCCTGATCTCCTTCCCGCGCTGACATTTCCTTCTCGCGCTGTGGGTTCCCGTGATTTCGAGGGATCAACACTGAGATTTCTTAAAGCCATTACTGCTTCAAGAAAACTCGAACATTCAACCTGAGAAATATCTTACACCCGCTCACCACCCACCTTATTTCTTTCCACTCCCAAGCCCATAGGAATCCCCAAACCCGAAGGGAAGACTCCCCCCACCCAACCAACAACGGCCTTCACACAACAAAATCTTCTAACTCAACTAACGTAACCAAACTAACAACAATGACCTCCACCAACCCCGGCCCTTCGGCCTCCCAACCCAACCTAAACCTTCCCAACCAGAATCCCGCAGGCCCGTCGCCCTGCAACAACCCCCAATGCGAGCAACGCGAGAGCCTCATGAAACAGGAGATTGACCGACTGCTGGACTGCAACGACAAGCTGATCGCTCAGGTCAGTGAGAAGTCGGCGGAGATCCGGGTTCTGCGGCAGAGAATACGGGAGTTGGTCCAGGGGAATGCTGCGGGGAAGAGGACGGAGCGGGTAAGTTTTCTATTTCTTTCGTTTTGTTCCCTTGCTGTTTGGTATTTGTTAGCTTGAGATCGGAGCTATTGTGTGGGGACATGAGCTAACAGACCCAGACCTGGCCCATGGAGCTGCGTTCGTACCTAAAGAACTCCCATCCGGTTCCTTCCAGGTATGCCGAGATCTACAAGAAATGCTGCATGGAGGAGAACATGAGCACACAGACGCGTATCGTACACCCCGACATCAGGTTTGTGCGGCGATATGGCCAGTCGCTGCGGGAGTCGGATACCGAGACCGAGAGCGAAGCGGAGGGTGATGATGCAGATGCGAGAGAAGAAGACGAAGAAGAAATCATCGGCGGTGGCGGTGATAGTGGAGAGTCTATTGGTGAGGCGGTTCCAGCTCAGGAAGGCGAGAAACCCAACGACCACCCCTTCCCCTTCGAAAACCTCCCCTGGCCACTCCAAGCCAGAATCCTCCGTCTCCTCCTCCACAAACCCAACACCATCATCCACTGCCTCTCCCGTCTGGACCCCTACTCCCAACCCGACCACTTCCCCTCTCCCGAAACCCTCGGCGAAACCCGCAGCGGCCTCCCCAACCGCTTCTACTGGGGCCCTCGCGAACTGAGTCTCTCCCAAGACGGCATCCCCCCCAACGAAGTCCTCGCCCCGCTCTCCGTCAGCCAACGCTTCTATTTCCTCGGCGCCCACATCTTCTACGGCCTCAACACCTTCGCCTTCTCCAGCCTTGGTGAGTTAGGCCGTTTCTGCCAGGGCTCCGGCCTGCACCGCGTCGCGCGCATCCAACACATCGAACTCCTCCTCACCGGCAGCCAGTACCTCACCGCTCCCGTGCTTGAGAATACCCGTCTCGGCCGCCTCGGCCGTGCCGCCGCCGCCGCCGCCAATGCCCTCGGCATCCGGGGGGACCGGAACTCAAGAGCCGCGCAGCAGGCGTCGCTACCACCGCTGTCCCGGCGTACGTACCCGCTCACCTGGCTAGCGCACACCAGCCGGCTGAAGACACTCGTCGTGCACCTCAACGAAACGGCGCGTTTCCACATCCGCCGGGGGTATGAGCACGACAAGGTAAAAGCCTTCTTGGCGCAGCACAGCGCGGGGCAGCCAAACACGCGGATGACGCGGTCGCTGAGGTGTTTGCAGGGGCTGGATTATATCTATCAGCTGCGCGGGATGGAGTGGGTGCGGTTTTATGATTTTAATCAGGTGTTGCGGTCGGCGAGGAGTGTAAGGCAGAGGGTGAGGGATTGGTCGTTTGAGGAGGATGTGATGAGGGTGGCGACGATGGAGAAGGAGCCGCTGAGGGCGGAGCTGGCGGCTTTGGAGAATTTGCCGGAGTTGTTGCCTGTGGATGTTAAGGAGAAACCCAAAAGCCAAGAAGGGGAGGAGGAAGGAGCAAAAAGAGAGGGAGGAAGAGAAGAAGAAGAAGGAGAAAAGTGGCAAAGGGAAACTTGGATGCCGAGGCCGGATGATTGGGCGTTGGTCAAGAGCGTATTTGCGTACAAACCGGGCCAGTCCTCGTACGACGACATGAGAATGGCGAAGCGCAAACGCCGTGACGCAGCAGCAGAGCGCCGGGCGAAATCGGCATCGGCATCGGCATCGGCATCACGCCGGGGCAGTAGCAGCATGCGGGCGCCGTCGCTGGCGACCATCTTCGAGGAGAACTCGTCCGATTCGTCCGGCCTGGTCTACTCGGATAGCGACGATGATGACAACATGTCCTCCGCAACTACCTCCATCAAGACAGATTCTTCTGATGACGAGGCGTCGTCAGAATCGGATGTGTCGTTGTCGTCGTTGTCGAGGTCATCGGCCTTGTTCACGGCTTCAGAAGACTCTGGCGACCTCGGGTCGGACGGGATTTCCTCCTCTGACTCCTCTGACTCCTCTAACTCCGACTCAGACTCTGGCTCGGATCTTGACTCCTCCGATTCCGACACCGGCTCGCGGCGTTCATTCAACAATATCCTCACCACTCACCTCACTAACAGGCACACCACATCCAACCCCCAAACCAAGAAACAACCCAGCCCAAGCCTAACCCCTATGCCCATGATCAAACGCCGTGAATCAACAGCAGCCACATCCAGCCCCTCACGCATCACCATCAAACGCCGCGAGTCAACAACCACCTCCCCCCCTGATAACCGCAACAACCGCGGCATCCGCGGCCACAGTCGTGCCAGGAGCAACAGCACAGGCATGTTTGTCTCGCCAGGCCCGAGTAACCCCTTTTTCGCTCGGGCCGCTTCTTTCCGCTCTTCCTCGTCAACCCCCGGGCCGGGCGGTAACAATAACAGACCGCAGAGGGAGTCGAGTGATGCGAGTGAGGGGTTGTTTATGACGCCTGGGCCGTCGAATCCGAATTTGAATCCAAATCTGATGAGTGTGCCGTCGTCGTCCATGGGTGGTGGTGGTGGTGGTGGACTACTGGCTGGGATGGGACGACAGCATCAGGAGCTGGTTAAGAGGGAGAGACGGGGTACGACGCCCGTTGCTTCGCTGCCTGTCGCGCAGACTCAGGAGGAGGGGGTGAGCAAGTTCAGGCCATTGAGCGAATTGTTTCGGCAACGTCTGTCGTTGTCTTTGTCGGGTTCGTCCTCGGAGTCGTCGTCATCTTCGGAAACTGAGAATGGCGATGATGACGATGACGAGGACAGCGAAAATGACAATGACAGTGACGGCGTCAGTGGCGTCAGCACCAATCTGGGTCTGAGCGATGACAGTGACGAGGGTGATGAAGATATGGATATGGATCTTGGGTCTTCGGACGAGTCTTCGTCGTTGGATTCGGCTTCGGAGTCGGAGTCTGAGAATGGAGATGACAACGATGAGAACAATGGCCCCATCACCTTCGTTGACGTCGCTAGTGCTAGGCTGGGCCTGAGTGATGACAGCCAAGGGGATGGTGAAGACGACGGTACAGATCTTGGGTCTTTGAGTGATACGTCTTCGACTTCGTCGTTGGATCCGGATTCTGATTCGGATTCTGTTTTTGGGTCTGGGTCTGGTTCAAAGACGGGCAGTTTGAAGCGGAAGGGTGATCGGTTGATGGAGCGTGATGCGTCCCCGTTGAAAAAGGCGCGCGTTGAGAACTGAGTGGGTGGATGGCGAAAGGGGGATGAAACGGGGAACTTGTTTTGGTTCGTTTCTTTTTCTCTCATCCATTCCATTTTCATCTTTTATCGGGTTTATCGGGCGTGACTGGTTCGAACGCAATTGTTTCATCAAAACCGCGAGCCCGTTGCCTGCTCCTCCTATCATCTCTTTTCAGCATTTCATCTTGATATCGCCACGCCGGTATTCTTGATTTCCTTAATTTCATCGCGAGTTGCGAGCGGGATTCCAGACATGGAAACCATCCGAAGTCTAACAAGACAGCATGGGCTAGACAGTAACACGGCGTTGCGTTAGACGGTATGCGCTGCGTTCAAACCGCGATTCTCAATTACTCAAACCAATCCATAAATTCCTCAATCAAACGTAATCTTCTTCCCCTGAAACGCAGCACCCGCCTGCTCCTTCGCCTTAGCCAACCGTCTCGCCTCCCAACTAGGATGCAATGCCCCCCCATCGTCGCGCTTCCTCGGCGCCGGCTCTTTCTTGGGCCCCAACTCCATCTCGTTCGCCCCTGAGCCCCTGGATTTATCCAACAAGGGATTCCGGATCCCCTGTTTCCACGGTTTCGATTTCCCATCAACCGCTCCCCGCTTCAGATCCCAGCCTGCGTCGCGCCCTTTGGAGGGCTCCGTGAGGTGCTTGGCTTTCTCGCCGAATTTCTTTTCCCAAATCGCTTGGCGGGCCCGCTGTCCGCGGCGGTTCTTGCGTTCCGGCGGCGCCACGTCGACGTCCGAGGCTGATTCTGACCCGGAGATGTACCCGCCCATCAAGCTGGGTAGGAAGGTGGAATCGGTTGGTTTTAGCGTTCCCTTTGCCTTTTTGGCCTTTTTAGGCGGTGGTGTGTGGGACGCGGAGGAGTCGGAGTTTTCAGCCTCAGAATCGTCATCTTCGTCGTCACTGGCGGAGCTTTGCTCGCCCTCTGCGGCGTCGCTGAAGCCGTTGAATTCGTCTTCGTCGTCGCTGTCATTCTCCTCGTCGCTGGTTATTTCCATGGGGTCGAGCTCGTCGTCGCCGTCTTCTTCATCGGTGGTGATTTCCATCGGGTCAAGGTCCTGCCCTAGGGACTTCCTGGCCCGGCCTTTGAAGAGCACCTCTTCTTCGTCATCACTCTCTTCGTCCGAGTCCAGGCCGAGGAGCTTGTCCAGCTGCGAAATGGCCTTCTCCTCTTCCTCTTCGTCCCCACTGTCCTCATTGTCTTCAGGTTGTCGATCCTTGGCTCTCCTGTCCGCCTTACTCGGCCTTTGATCCCCCTCGTCCTCTTCCCCATCAACGACCCCAACCGTCTGCTTCTCTCCCTTCCCACCCTCATTGCTAGCAGCAGCCGCCCCCTCATTCCCCCCCTTCCCACCCTTATCCCCCTTCTCCTTCCTCACCCTCCCCCCCTTCCTCGGCACCTCCACCCCCAAAGCCCTACAAACCTCCTCCACAGCCTTCTCCACCACCCTCTTCACCTCCACCCGATTATACAACGAGCTCGTAACATTATGCAAAGCGGCCCTCTCCTCCTCCGTAACCTCGGGTCTAGCCACGCCCTCCCGCACCTCTTCCGGCAACCCTTCCGCCTCGGCGAGCCCTTTGATTTTTAACAGTGACGAGCACAGGTGGGCGTGTGCGGTTTGTTGTAGGTCGAGGGATTTGAGGACTACGATTTCGTTTTCGATGCGGGAGCGTTTGGCGGGGTCGGTGGTGCGGTCGGAGAGACGCTTGGATTGGCGCTGACGTTCGAAGCCTTTGGCTTGTTTGAGGGCGTGGAAGAGGGAGGTGCGGTGGCGGGTGAAGAGGACGGAGACGGACTCGTCGCGCTTGCGTTTGGGCATGGTGGTTTGGTAGTGGGATTGGTTGGTTTGTAGTGGGCTAGGAGTAAAACGTGGGCTACAGCTAGAGCTGAAAAGGTAACAGCACAGAATATATTAGTCGTGATGGTGTCTTGGTGTTTGTTTGTTGAAAAGATGGATTGGATGACCCCACACCCGAAAAATTTAGTGGGTATGCATCCTGCAAACGGACCCACTCCCCCCCTGCAACCTCCAACACGCGCGCCCAGATCAGCCCTGTCCTGGTCGCGTAAAGTGGACAGGGATTCAAGACGCGATTCTCGTCTGTGTTTCTTTGTGGAAGTTTGACGCACTTGGAAACTCGGGGACTCTGGGAGAGGAGGGGCCAACCACGAACCAATCCCGCCAGAAAGCCCCAGCCACCGGACGAAGACATACCGCCTCGAAACCTGGACAAAACCTCTTGCTGCGTACATTTCGAATACGAATAGCCTCCTGAGATAGCGATATCGCGACATTGGGCACCAGCTGTTTTGGTTGTCTACTTGAATTATTTCCGACCGCCAGTCTGAGCATTGCGCTAGGTCTTACCGCATCGCATCGCATCGTCGGTACCCTCAAACACCGCTTTCTTTATTTCCTCTCCGATTCCTCTCTCCCTGCGCACTGCGCACCAATTGAACGAGACCACAACAACAATGGCTTCCTCAGGCCGCGCAATACAATACACCATCCCAACAAGGGAAGACTTCAACAAGCTCGCCGACGAGCAAAAAACACGAGTCAACGAAGCAGTAAGTTCCATTCCCACCGCTTTCCTCCCTCCCAAACCTCACTCTTACCCATACATCCAGTTCGACCTCTTCGACTCCAACAAAGACGGCCTCCTCTCCTACGAAGAATTCCGCTTCGTCCTCCGCGCCCTCGGTTTCGAGCTCCCCAAATCCCAAACCTACGAGCTCCTCCTCCGGCACGGTCAAAAGCCCTCCAACTGGCCTCACGACCAAGACTGCGCGCCCGTCTACCGGCTCTTCAGCCTACCCACCTCGCAAGCGCTGGCGGGGACTTTAATCCGGGCGCGGGACCCGCGCGAGGAATTGAGGCGGGCTTTCCGGTTGTTTGATACGGATGGCAAGGGGATGATTACGCAGGAGGATTTGAGGAAGGTGAGTAAGCAGGTGGGGAATAATATACCGGATGCGGATATTGTGGCGATGATTGAGGAGTTTGATGCGTCGGGGAAAGGGGGGGTGGATGAGGATGAGTTTTTGAGGTTGATGATGTCGAAAAAGTGAGGGGGGGTACTGCATCTGGTTGTGAGAGGTTCTGTGGTCGCTGATGGTGAGGTCGTTGTCTTGGTGGTTTGTTTACTCCAGGGAGGTGTCGAGCTTGATACCCAGACGGCAGTATGTGCCGCGCAAGGAGATGGGAGATTGGCAGCCGGACAACGGAAGAGAGGGGGAAGAGGGAACGGCAAGGGGGAGAGAGACAGGCGAAAGTCGGCGATTTTGGATGACGGGGAAGAGTTGTCACAAAATAAATACCGGCGCCCCGATTCATACGGCAAGGACTGGAATGGAATTCTGGGTTATAATATACAATCAGCATTGAAAAATCAAGGGCGTTAATTTTTCTGTATCCCGCACTATAACCACACCAAAACCGCAGCACCACCCTAATCCCGACCACCATCATCCTTCTTAACAGCAATAACCCAGTTCACGCGCCCAACCGGCCACATGAACGTCTCGCTCCCACTCTTGACCTCCCACTTGGCAATTTCCTTCTCGCCTCCCTCAGCCCCACACGTCCGCAGCAGCGCCTCGACTTCATCTGGCGTGCGTGTCCGCAGACACGACATCCAGCCATCGAAGACAAGGGCGACGGGAAAGATGGGCACCAGGTAGGTGAATACCAGCGCCAGCGGCGCACGCCAGAGCACGGCGTAGTAAGGGACCGCGATCAGAGACCCGATTCCGAAGAGACAGACGGACAGAAACCCGGCCAGGCCTCGGTCTTGCAGCTCGAAGATCCTACGCAGTCATCACCATCAGTATCATCAATATGTAACCCCAGAAACCCAAATCAAACCCCACACTACCACGATCATCGGGAGAAAAGGATAAAAGAAAAGACCTACCCGAACCCCTCCCCACCACCATCAACCGTATCCCTCAAAATCGCCCTCGCCAACCCATCATCGAAGTGATGAAACGACACATTAAACAGCCGAAACACCCGTTTCCCCTCCTCCCCGGGCCGGCCACCCCCACGGTACTTCCGAATCACCTCCCGCGGCACCCGCGCCGCGTCCACGGGTTCTGCGATATAACTCAAGTTCGGCGAGCGCGCGGCCGCTGCTGCCCAGAGGCTAGGGTGGGGATGTAGGTCTGTGAGGACGAATTGGAGGGGATGTTTCCGGGTATCGTTGGTGTTTGGGGAAGGGGGAGATGGAGTGAGGCTGTTGAGGTGGCGCTCTATGAACGGTGTGGGCCCGCCAGCGCCGGCGCAGAAGTCGATGAAAGTGTGGGCATGGAGGTTCCGGCCCAGGTGGGTGCGGAGAAGGCGGGCTACGACCTCGGCTGGGGAGGAGGTTTGGATGAAGGGGATCTAGGTGGGTGGTGTTAGTTTGGATGGATATAGGTTAAGAGAGAGAGAGACTGGGACCAAACGAAGGTTGTGAAAACATACGTTAATGGTCCATGCTGCGGTCAAAGCCGCTTGCAAATATCCGCGAAGGAACCCGGGGTACCTGGTCTTTTGTTAGACGTGGTGTTTTTCCGGCAGAATAATAAGGCTTGGAGTGACCGCTGAACCGTACCATGAGTAGTCCGCAATCTCAAACACCTGCATCCGCGGTATGGAGAGCGTCATGCTGAGGTGTGAGCTTCCCGAAGTCAATGGACGAAGAGGAGGGCGTCCAACGACTCGTCTTGGTGTATTAGACTGTGTATTCGGGTCGGTCCTCGGATAAAGAGAACCGCACAAATATTGACGTTGTTTGGTTGTACAGATCGCGTATAGACGCCGCCGACCAATGGTTCCCTTGCGGTCGAGGTAAGTGTACCTCGGCATGGTTTTTAACGACGCGATGACCTCAGGACAAACATTGGAGTGAAAAGTCGCCCCTTTCGAGGTCCTAAATGGGGCTGGTATCCCTGCCGTTGTCTCAGTGGTCGAACCTGCATTTTGACCCGACAGGTATTTCAAATGTAGTTTAGCGGAGCGCCACCTGCCAACAGCTAATTAGATTGTCCCATTTCTGGCGCGACGAATTTACATATAAATTACACTAGGTGCATTTATGTCTTGTACCTGCCGTGCGTGCCGAAAAAAGAGAGGGTCTGAGCACTGAGATAACCCTGCCGGAGGTTTGTACGGGAGCTTTGGTGAGGGGCAGGACCTGGGTTGTGCCTGCCCCGGCAGAATGGTAATGGCCGCAGGCGTTGCTTCCGTCTCAACAACCTAAAACCGTAGAAGTTTGGAAATGGGGCTCACAATTCCTCACCTACCGGAACTTTCAACTCTGGCAAGCTCTTCCCGCTATGCACACTTTCGTGTCTGCCTCCTTGGTCTTACACCCTTCCTACCTATTTGGGTATGCCCAAGCCTAATGCGCCTCCACCATTGGCCCGCCAAACCTGCCCTCCATGGAACGGTCAGACTCAAAGTGTAGCTTGGACTCGGAGACCTGGCCCATCCATATTCACCTCTGTTGTTCTCTCCTACGTTGTCTAGACCCACCACCTCTGTCCTCGGAATATACCGGTTTCAACCACCCCGAAGCAGATAGACTTCTCCAAGATGGGCCTGCTTGTCGAGTATGGAGATTATATTCTTTCCGGTTTTGTGCTCGCCGTAATCATCCGCATCTTCACATCCAGGAAGACTATACGACGGAACGGTGAAGCGTTGAGGTAAAGCATCCCCTAGCACACTCCTTTGGGTTCAAGTTTTGACCTGCATACCTCAATCCCAGGACCCCGCCAGGTACCCTACCTTTAGTTGGTAACAGCATCAAGTTCCTTCAGCCTCGTTGGGACCTGCTCGACTGGTTCAACAAATGTCAGTGTCAGTTTGGCTACGAGACATTGGCCCTCACTGTGCCCACTTTCCCTTCCGCAGTCCTCATCCAAGATCCTCGGAATCTGGAGTTCGTCTTCAAAAATGAGAGCTTGTTTACCAAGGGCGCGTTTGTGAAACGCCGTTCTTGGGACTTGTTCGGTGAGTGTTGGTTATTCTGACCGTTGGTTGGTGCGCACCACGTATATACTAAGATGCTGTAGGAAATGGCATCATTAATGCCGATGGGGACTTCTGGAAGCTGCAGCGAAAAGCCGGCTCAGCATTTCTCAACACGGCCAACTTGAAAGTGCTCACCGATGTGTTACTTCCTCGGTACATATCTGAGAGTCTCGACGACTTGCACTTGAGCACTAAGCGAGACACGGTGGATCTTCAGCATGTCTTCCATGAGATAACCACTAAGCTCATGGGTAAAATGGCTTACAATGTAGGTACTCGGTGACTGAGATGTGATCCTCATAAGTGAACTGGGCTGATTATGTCCAGATGGAAATGCATGCTGACGATATCTTCTCCCAATCCTTTGACTTCGCCTCCGGTGCAACCGCGAAACGTTTTCAGAACCCTCTATGGCTCGTTACTGAATATTTCTTGGGCTCTGAATTCCGGAGGTCAGTATCAGCCGTCAAGGAATTCGGCCGCCACATCGTCGCCAATGCGGTCCAAGGCCGAGAGGAGCAGACTGCGAAAGACGAACCTACGGACCCGGATAGCAAAGTTGACCATATCTCGGGTTCCCTCATCCGGTCTCTACTTGATGCGCTCGGGGATGAGCAAATTGTTGCTGACGCCGCCTTGAACTACCTTTCTGCCGGCCGCGATACTACCGGCCAAGCCCTCACTTGGACCTTCTATCTCCTCCTCCAGCACCCTGAAGCGGTCACCAAGATCCGGGCCGAGGTCCAAGACCTTCTCGACCAACAAATGCAACAACAGCCAGATTCTCCCTCACCTACACTCATCACCAGCAGCAACCTTCCTATACTCAACGCCGATCTAACGCTCTTCACGCCACAATCTCTCCCCTACACAACTGCCGCATTTCATGAGGCACTCCGTCTGTATCCACCCATCCCTTTTGAGTTCCGCCAAGCACAAGCCGACACCACCCTGCCCGACGGCACCTTCCTGCCACGCCACTCGGTGGTAATGTGGTGCTTGTGGGCAATGCAGCGATCACAGTCAACATGGGGATATGATGCGGAGGACTTCCGACCCGAACGGTTCTTGGTGTGTGACGATGAACACCAAGGCCAAGGTCAAAGCCAAACCCAAGACGATCACCTAAGCGAAAATAAAAAGAATTCCCGGCACTTCGCCGTGGGCAAGTCAACCAGTGAGTTTCCCGTCTTTCACGGCGGTGTTCGCACGTGTTTGGGGCGCAAGATGGCCGAAGCCATCGCCGTGCAGGTTATTCCCAGTGTGGTCTGGGGATTTGATCTAGAACAGGGGTGGGAGGGTCCTCTGGAAGGGAGACGAAGTCACACAAGTCTGACGCTGCCCATGGAGGGCGGATTACCTGTGAAGGTGAGAAGGAGGGTGGTGGATTGAGGTAGGTGAGCTCCGGGATATGTTTAGGGCGAGGGGTTGGTTTCAAGGAGCTTTGAGCGCGTTGAATTATATGGGATACCTCTCTGCGCGCTGCTCTCGCCGTCTCAGTATCGTCTGGGGGTTGTGAGATTTGCACTTCGGACTCAGGTTGTGGTATGTTCATGATTAATTACTGACGGCGACGATGAACATGTAATTATCGTTAGTTTTCTTAGCAAGAAGATTAACTAATTAATTTAATTACTTAATTCAAACGGACGGGCGCTAAGAGAGGAATAAACACGTAAAGAAAGGTCAACTGCCTCTTGTCACGAAAATTCTAGCCAAATGCGTCGGGAAGGGGTTACTTAGCGCACGAATGAATTGATTTAATCACCAAATACAGAAGAATCACTGTTGATGAGGAATGAGACGCTAGGCAAGGCTCCCACGCAGAGCCACGGGGAAATGGAGAGTCATAAGCTCTAGGGGAGGACAGAATCCCTAGTGGCGAGTCAGTGAAGAAGAAACAAATTTAAAACCAGCCTGGCGGTGCCTCAGTGAACGAGCGTATTGGATGCTTCTGGGTGGGTAGTGAAACTATACGTACGCCCCATCACACCATAGCTTGACCACCCGAATAATGTTCTCCAGGATAGGTAAGTGTTCTAGTGCCTCTCTCTCTCACCTTTGCGAGAACAAGAAACAATAGCCGACTTCCTAATAGGTAACTCCAACTGATACAGCCTATTTCCAGACACAAGGTGACCAGGCAATGACACCATAGCTGGCAGCCAGCCTGTCACTCCGTCTGATTTTCATCCTTCCAGAAGTACAACATAATCGATTCGAGTAATCAAATGATGCTACTACACCTTCGCACACTCACACACACACACATGCATTCCTTATCTTTCACCACCCCGAGGCAACCTTGCCCTACCTATGTACCTGTACTTGTATAGCGTTGACGATTCTATCACCACACCCATCCTGTACGCTGCAGAATGTGTTGATTGTTTCACGGGGTTTAAATCAATGAACGAGAGAGATGCCGACCGAATCAAGCAGGTTTCTGTTTCCGCAAGCGCAGCTACCTGAATCAGAACCGCCCCCACACGGGATAGAATGGGACATGAGGTCGCAGATTATACCCCAAAAAAGAAAAGGAAAACAAAGGCGGAATGGAAGGGGTCCTCAACGGAAGTTGGACAGCGTAGCATACGAAGCCAAGAAGTACCTCAAAACAAGCTTTTCGGCAGGTGTGGATTGTGTCTCTTAACCGCAGTCTCACGGTCTCACTATGTCCGACATTGCAATCTCGGCATCGAACATCAGCGGGTTCCTGTCTGCCTAGACCGGATCCTCGTGGACGTGGGACACTGGGGCACTAGGGCACGGGGACACGGGGACACGGAGGGGGGGCGATCATCGATCGGTCGGGAGGATCAGGTACGGTCGAGATCGACAAGGTGGAAAGGAGGCCGTGCAGCGGAGGAACTCGAATTGTGTGGCCGGCATTCCGTATTTGAGACGGGGATTGCCATTGCGTTCTATATCCAGGAACTTCTGCCCCCGTTGTCTCACCTGCAGGTTTGTTTTGTGGTGGGGCGTTGGATGTCGTGGTGAACGCTTGTGTGCTTGCAGGAATGGTGAACACCCGACGCTCTTGCGAGAGGTTGTTGCGCGTCCTCTGTTGGAAAAGGGAAATGCGTTGCAGAAGAAGAAGGGCCGACCGAGGAAGACTGGAAATAGGACGGTGTGAGCTCACCAACCCGTGCCCGTGGCCGTATCGGGCAAGCGCGATGAGCCACCGATGCAAAGGCGGCTGGACGGATACAGCCGTGCTCCAAACCAGGAATCAACCTCCCCCACCTCCCGAACCAACGACACAACGCCGATGGGTCAACCACGCTCGAGCCACGCTCATGTGCTTGGGAAGAAGTTTTGGGATGTGAGACTCTGGACCCTCGGATGTGAAGTGACTCTTGGCGACCATGTGGTGGTGCAACCGGGCCGCATGGATGATGTACCTGCATGTTCAGAGTACATACCTTGTCGGTGTCTTAGGGGTCTTGTCCCCACGCGAGTTCGAGATATTCGGGCGACCTCGACTCTCCAACGGCGTCGACCAATGCGGATGGCTGAGGTCCGGGGCTGGTGGAGGACGACGGGCTGTCCCGCCTGGGGGCGGGCTGCTAAACTGGCTAATCTCTGGAAGTGGGTGCCATTTTGCGAGAAATTTCTGCAGGTGGCCTGCCTGGTCTTATCTCTTGTTAATTCGAGGAGCCGCGGTAAGCATCAGTAAAGAGACGTTCTTCTTGCGCGACTGCCGATGTTATCATGGCTGCCGGCGAGTATCGGGAAGGATCCAGCGTAATGGAGGGAGAACTCGAGTCGACGAGTTGGGGATCGGGAACGAGGAGGCCTCCAAAACACTCCTTTTCAAAACACTCCTTTCAGGCGCGACTGCGGCGCCGAGAACGTCCACGAACATCAACTCGGCCATCGTCGGGTGCAGGTTGCGTTTGGGGGTAACACTAAATCGGCGGATGTCGGGGGATCGGCAGAGGGCACGGAAGGCTGAAGGAAGGACTGCCGGCTGAGCGGGCGGCCGGGGGTGACTGTGGAGAGAGGCCACGGACGCAGGCCCGGGAAACGGGGATGGAAGAAACCGGAAGCGGTTCTCTCATCAATCACACCGGGTGTGGCGTTCTTTTGACGAAAAGCCCACCGAGGAAATTTCCAAGCGTTCCTGAGAATTCTGGACCTGCTTGGCGAGTCTTGGCGGTACCAGAGGTGACATTCTGGAGAACCTGGCTCGCCTGGCAAGCTGGTAACACCCCAACATTCGCGACGTCGAACATTGGTGGGTTGGTATTCCGGGGGGGTTGGCGAGACTTGCTCAGCTTCAAACGCCTAGAACGAACTATTTACTTTGACAAAAAAATTCGAACGAAATCGCAATTTTACCTTCGTTTTCTTACCGCTGTTTGTGTCCTCGTGACTCTGGTTCTGTTTGTCGCCGGGACCTGCGCCGTGTGTTGCCGAGTCGAGCTTTGACCACCAATCATTTCACCTAAATTTTCGAGAATCACATGCGGAAGCCGTCCCAGATCGAAGGTCTGGGGAGGTCACGATGGTACCGGGTTACGTAAGGACCCAAGCCCCTTACCCCAGCCGGGACTCCAGAACCGACTCCAGGGCTGATGTCACTCCCTAACACCCTGGTTTTCAACACAAGTCCTTGACAATGATCCCAGGCCGCTTTGGACGCTTCCCACTAAAAATTTGTTACCTGCACAATCTGGGCCAACAGAGTTCAATTATCGGGCAATGCCGGACCGGTAATTGATGCGTTATGATTCGCGGTTGCCGTGCTGGCCTATCGCGGCGGGCTATCGGCAACGAAAACGGCAAGCTCGACACAAGCCGATTGTGGGGCACCGTCCTGGCGGGGTACTGGGGTCCAGGCATGCGATATGGGAATACGTATGTACCGAGTTTCCCCTGCAGGGCAGGTCGTTCCATCTCCTGGGGGCTAAATTCCTCCGTCGCGAGATGGATTCTATCGGAACGGGGCTAACGGGGTGAAACAACGATGCCGCTTCCTTACAAAGAAGTGGTCACAAGTAAGGTGGCTTGGTGGGTGACCACCAAGTTGCAGGTTTGTTGACCGTCTTTTGTGGGTTTTTATCTAGTTATGGAGTCTCTCGCGGGGAAAGCCTAGCATGGCTGTTCCTCGAATTTCATTCTTAGCGGCGATCAGGAACTTGTCACCCGCCTAGGAGAGTTTTCAACATTGCGGGGCCATGTTTACATTCTCTTTCAAAGACACGCCCGCCAAGGTCTGGGCAGCTCCAAGGCCCTGGTTGGGAGAAACCGCCGTGCTCACTTGGCGCTGAAGCGAAACGAAAACGTTTTCTTGTGATGCCCGGCTGCGTTCTGTCCCAGCGGGTTGAGGCGGCAGCCATGCCCCTGCAGGTCTCCCGTCCAACAGTGGGGAGCCGGATTGAGCCACTTGAACAACCACACCCCTCTGTCAGGCAGTCTGTAGCGGGTGTGAAAATTACACTAGACGGTACATACATGGATAAAGGGCTTAAAATAGTCGGAAATCAAAGGATGCTACGAATCCGAGCTGTGATCAGTTCACGAATTTTCAGGCCAGGAGGTCATGTGGTTCGCTCAGCCTCTCGACTTCAACTCCTAGTACACTCACAATCAGAACAGTTGGGTCCAAGCAAGCCCCGCTTTTCCAAATCGGGGCTTTGAAGGAAACTGCTTCGGACGTTGCTCCTACTTTTCCCGGCTGAACACGGCTGAGAAACGGACGGAAAGCAGCGCCGCATGTTGTAGGCAACGGCGAAGACTTCAAACGTCTCTCGCCGTTTTGCTATCATCCGTGAAAGTTGCGTACCTAGCTGCCGAAAAGGGGGCCGGAAGGGCGGAAACGGCACCCGAGCTCGGGACGGCAGTGAACGGGTTAGAACGGCAGGTGCAGAGAACCAAAAGTGGCAAGGTTTGACACAACGGATGGTAAGTGCGCAACTGCCTGCCTCTTGGCCCCAAAGATCACACCATCCAGGGTTGGGCTCGCCTCGACCATGATGCGCCGCTGCAGCACAAACATCCGCTAGTTGCGTCCAAAAGCGATTCCAGAGCCCGCGATATCATCATCTCTCCAACCTGGCCAGCCTGGCCGGCCTATGAAACCAGGCACCGCCATCGCCCTTCCCGAAAGGTAACAGGGGTGCGGTCGAACTGCTCCGGGAACAATTCGTGCCCCCGGCCGCCCAATCACCGTTCCCCCGAACCGTCATCCGCTTGGACCCGGGCCCTGTCCGGCGTGGCGCACGTCAGACCCGAAGTGGAATGTTGTCGTCACTCGCCATTGGGCGTGCCTGTTCTCGCAAACACACGCCCTTATATAGTCTCACTCCTCGACCTCGGGTACCGCAGGAGAGTCAACTTTTCGTTATCAGCACTACCCTGTCTCAAGCACTTGTATCTCCTACCTTCCCCAGAAGAAAGTGGATTTCCCGTACATCCACATTGCCGAAATCGTATCGACTCCCGCGACCCCCTTTGCGACACACCCCAGAACCAGCCGAAGTCGTGCTCAGAAACGAGCACATAAGAACCATGAAGGACCCCGTCGCCAGAACCGATTCTCCCTACCCTGACCCCTCAGTCAAAGGCCCTAGCAGTCAGCTTCTTTCCAACAGACTTTCCTCCGCCGCTTCCAACAGTAAGAACCACACCGGATTAGTCCTCCGGGCTCAAAAGTGCCCACTTTGCAGTCTTCATTGTGTACTTACACATTCTCACTGCAGTGCTCAACACCGTCAACAAGACCGGGCTCCACCCCGGCGGCATCACGTCAGTATATTCCTCTCAGACTTTCAGTGGTCAAACTTTGAACACAACAGATTTCCTAACGAGATAATAGGCCTCACCCAGACCACACTGAGTTGGGTATGTTCTGTCGGGATACATCCGCCATATGTCACACATTGTTCTGTTCCCTTTACCCTAACCATTGTCGACAGAGGAGGAGCTTCACGAGAAAGCCCACATCGACTACACTCGGGTCGCCATTGTTAGTCTCCACGTGCCCACCCGCTAGGTTGAACCTTGTTAAAGCTAACACCACCGCAATAGATCCCCAATCCCTCGGTTGCCGCCCTTTACGAAGACGCCCTCGTCTACGAGACCGGTACCGCTATCACTTCCAGTGGTGCCTTGACCGCATACTCGGGGAAGAAGACCGGTCGGTCGCCTAACGACAAGCGTATCGTCAAGGAGCCCTCATCAGAAAAGGATGTTTGGTACGTTGGTTGCACCTCCTAGTGTTTGAGGATTTGTTCAGTCCTACCATCTCGAAACGGTCACTAACATGCTCAACAGGTGGGGACCCGTCAACAAGCCCATGGACCCAGAGGTAAGACCGCCTGATGTTATTTTCAACCGCCCCCTTTCTTATTTGTTTTGGTTTTCCGTTTCCCGATCCGTCGGCCCGAGTCTAGCCGACCGGTGGGGCTCCTCGTCATAACTTGAAGGAGGATCTCTCACCCCAACCACCTCCAAAATCCAGCCGAAGTCGGTTTGGCCGGTGTCTTTGAGACATTGTGCCTTCAGGACAAACTAGTATACTCTTGCACTACGATCATCCGGGCGGCCGGAGATCAGGTGATGATCGAAGATTGGCGGCATCATTGTTGTGTCGTCGATTTGCCGCGGCTAACACATCCCTGTCACTGTCGTCATACCTTGCATTTTCAACCCCGGACCCCACAACCCGAGAGCCAACCACCTCGGGTCCCTTCCAGGAATCTTGAATCACGTGAAACCTCCATCGTGACCAAATCGGCGCTAACCATATTCGGTATTTCTAGGTCTGGAAGATCAACCGTGAGCGTGCTGTCGACTACCTGAACACCCGGAATCGCATCTACGTTATCGACGGCTATGCGGGATGGGACGAAAAGTACCGTATCAAGGTGCGGGTCGTTTGCGCCCGCGCCTACCATGCTCTCTTCATGCGCAACATGCTCATCCGCCCGCCGCGTGAGGAGCTTGAGCATTTCCACCCCGACTACACCATCTACAATGCCGGCCGCTTCCCCGCCAACCGTTACACAGAAGGCATGACCTCTGGAACCTCGGTCGCGATCAACTTTGCCGAAAAGGAGATGGTCATTTTGGGTACCGAGTACGCCGGCGAGATGAAGAAGGGCATCTTCACAGTGATGTTCTACGAGGGCCCCGTCAAGCACAACATCCTGACCCTGCACTCCTCCGCCAACGAGGGCAAGGACGGCGATGTCACCCTGTTCTTTGGTCTCTCCGGCACCGGCAAGACCACGTTGTCTGCGGACCCTAACCGTGCCCTGATTGGTGACGACGAGCACTGCTGGAGTGATCGCGGTGTGTTCAACATCGAAGGTGGCTGCTACGCGAAGACGATTGGTCTCTCGGCCGAGAAGGAACCCGATATCTACGGCGCTATCCGTTACGGCTCGGTTTTGGAGAACGTTGTTTTCGACCAGGAGACCCGCACCGTCGACTACGACGACTCGACCTTGACCGAGAACACGCGCTGTGCGTACCCGATTGAGTACATCAGCAACGCCAAGATCCCCTGTCTCTCCAACAACCACCCATCCAACATCATCCTTCTCACCTGCGATGCCCGGGGTGTTCTCCCTCCGATCTCGAAGCTCAACGGCGCCCAGACCATGTTCCACTTCATCAGTGGCTACACGTCTAAGATGGCCGGCACGGAAGATGGTGTTCTCGAGCCCCAGGCCACCTTCTCGTCGTGCTTTGCGCAGCCCTTCCTTGCGCTCCACCCGATGCGCTACGCTAAGATGCTTGCGGACAAGATCGAATCGCACAATGCCAACGCTTGGCTACTCAACACCGGCTGGGTTGGTGCCGGCTTCTCGCAGGGCGGCAAGCGCTGCCCTCTCAAATACACTCGTGCCATCCTTGACGCCATCCACAGCGGCGAACTGGCTAAGGCCGGGTACGAGAACTACGCCGTCTTCAACCTCCAGGTGCCCACTTCCTGCCCCGGTGTCCCCGCGGAGCTGCTCAACCCCCAGACCGCATGGACCGCTGGAGCGGATAGCTTCAACTCCGAGGTCAAGAAGCTCGGCTCGCTTTTCTTGGAGAACTTCAAGAAGTACGAGAGCGAAGCGACGGAAGACGTCATCAAGGCTGGCCCCGTTGTTTAAGTTTGAGTTTGAGTTTGGTGTTTTCCCGTTTGTCGCATAGATCTTCCAGTTGCATGGGACCCCGGCGCTCCATATTCTTTTTCACTTGATTTCCCTTTTTCCTTGTCGGGTTATTGTTTGGAATCTGGATACACCTTTTGTTATTTTTCTTGGCCATTCTTGGCTATGATAGGTTGCCACTTTGTGGTAATGGTTATGGATTACGATGCCGAAGGCACCAGGGAGGATATGATGAATTTAGCAAAAAGTAGTTTAGTCGCCGCCTGCTTTTGAGCAGAGCTGGGTTTAAATCGAGATTGGGTGTTCAAATTTGGAGTTCTTGTGACCGTCTCAGACTTTCTAAGCGGGCAAGTTAAGTGATAGAGAGAAGTCTTAGGGAACATCGCAAGCCACAGCCTAAGCTACAACGTTAAAACTGGGATAAGCACCGTACTTTTTTGAATGGGTAACTCGGTAACAAGTGACACCCGAAAAACCTCCAAGCGCAGACGTGCCATCCTTCCCGAAAATCCAGCGCAAAGAACTCCAGCTGCATTTCTCACTGGCTCATTCCGAGTACCTGGCATGACCATACCTGGCATGGCCTTTGCAGCTTGCCTTGTTTGCTACCCGCTGCAAGTTGCTCATGCATGTTCGTGACTTCCCGTTGTGTGACATGATATTGACTAGGACTTTGCTGAGACGACTAAACATACAAAGTCCCTGGGTTCCCCAGCTCTCTCATAAGCATTGTCAACACCAGGTTGTTATTTCTACAACCTTTATATGCTGTGGCTTCCCGACAAACCTCGAACTTACTGAACAATGCAGACACGTAAGGCCATTAACTGCCCATAATGGGTCGGGTGGTCAGATGAGAGGCCTTCGTTCCTGCCATTTCCAGTAGGTATAAGACCCTGCCACCATTGTTTTTATCGACCTCGAGTGTTCCTTCCCCAAGTTTTAAAAGACCTTTCGGGGCCCAGGAAACCTGACAACGCGCCGAACTTGACGTGCATTTGCACTCCAAACCATTCTTCCCACACCGAATTGTTACCATTAGGTATATCGGCTGACTTGCGGATCCAGCCCGGCTTCGAACCATAGCGTCTGTACTTACAGTATCAATCTCACCCGCAACACCGGTGTGCGCTGTAGTTCCCAGTCTACTACATCCAAGGCGACTCAGAATCTTCCCAGAGCTGCTTCGGAGTGGCATCGGCTGGAACGGGCGATCACTCGTTGGTAGAAATCAGACGGTTGCGCCGCCATACTGACCCATCGGTTATATATAAACTTCAACTCAATAGTTCAAGTCTTTCTACGCTTCTGTTAGGCCTAGAGCGATGGCGGTCACCACCACCACTGAACCCTCCTCCAAACCCGCCTCCGAATCCTCCTCCAAACCCGCCTCCGAAAACGCCTCCAAACCCGCCACCAAAACAGCTTTAGAACTTGCCGACGAACGGGCCTCCAAACCGGCCACCAACCCGGGTCCCAATCTCCTCGGCCGCCCCATCGACAGCCATTTTCTAGTCAGGATCCCCGTACTGCTCATCCTGACGCTCTTGATCCAATCATTCTCGTTCACCAGCACCAGAAACATTCCCACAACTTTCCTCGCCAACTTAGCCCAGTCCACCGCAGCAACCTTTGCGATCCAGACGGCCGTCGCCGTTCCCTCGATTCTCTTGCAAAATGAAAAGTTATACGATCTATCCGGGACGGGCAACTTCGTGGTAGTTATTGCGATGAGTCTGGCTCGGACAGCGCGGTTGAACCAAGGGCCTGGAAGCGAGGTGGGGGTTGTCGATGTCCTGGGGGCCATCACGAGGATCTTGAAAGGAGAGGGCATTTACAATGGTGGTGTCTGGGAGGAGTTGGGCGTGGATTGGAGACAGGGCTGGGTGACGGCACTTGTTTACGTGTGGGCTGTGAGACGTAAGTTTCTTCCTCCCTCTCCTGTTAGTGCTTTTATTGCTCGTTTATCATCCTTAGGGAGCGGAATAATGCTGGCCTGAGTATGGCCAGCATATTTGCCACGGACGTTATTAGTTTATGGTTATTGCTTTCAGTCTTCATCACGATGAAGCAAACGCACTGTCTTAACCTGAGTTTCAGTGGGCCTATATACGTTCATCCGGTCGATTTGCCGAGGGGGCGACTCTCGTTTCGATAAGTTCCGCGACAACCCGAGGAAGTTCTTCGCCGTTTTCATGGCCCAAGGCATTTGGGTCACACTTTGCACCGTTCCGGTCGTTGCCGTTAACTCAATCCTGGCCGATGGGTTTCCTAGCTCTGACTGGAGGACCAGTTCACCTGCTGCCGCGTTCATCAGGGCAGTCTGGTTCACTCTCGGCCTGTGGTCTTTCTTGCGGGGCTTCGCGATTGAGTGCCTGGCCGATTGGCAGCTATCAAAGTGGCTCTTGGACAGGCACTGGAAAAAGCACGAGGAGGTGTTTTGCGGCAAGGGACTTTGGGACAGGTGGTGAGTGACCCTGTTTCGTGCTTACACTCTCCGAGTGGTAGTTAACGAGGTTGGCAGCCGCCACCCCAATTATTACGGCGAGTGTCTTGTGTGGCTCGGTATCTCCATGTGCTCCGCCGCCGTCCTCATGTCATCAGCTGCTCAGAAATCCACTCGCCTCGGGTTTTTCACAGTGTGGATTCTATGCTCCCTCACGCCGTACTTCGTCTACAAGCTGCTGCGAAACATCAGCATCCCAGTGATCGAAGAAAAGATGGATTGGAAATACATGGAAATCAAGGAATATCGCATTTGGAGAAGGGACAGAACGCTCAGGATCTGGCTTGATGGCGCCGGTATTATCTATGGTTGTGCCTGACGCGTTCGACACAAACGCTCAGATGGATTGCGATCGGGTCGAACCGGCACCTGTAGAACGCCTGGCGATCAGGCGAGCAAGCAAGGGATGGGGGTGAAGGACGGAGGAGAGTAGTGGGGCGAGAATATATACGATCAGTGGGTATTGCCTGTAAACGGCGCCATAGTACATGTTCGGGGCCGTGTCAGTCGTGGTGACCGGGAGTTGGGGGTGATTCGGTGACGGCGCATCGATAGGTGGAGAGAGGTGCATATAGGCATGTATTGTCCAACAGCGATTATGTTCTTAATTGTTTCGTTCCTCGGATCATCCAGAATGGTTCACTATAGCCTGTATATGCTGCGCTCCTCATGATGGCCTCCTCCACCGAAACCACCAGTTCACAGATGCATTCAAGCCCCCCTCCACATCAGAAGTACTCACAAAACTGTGCCACCAACCTTTAGGAATAAACATCATGTCGCGAGGCCCAACTTCCGCATGTTGCATAAGTTGATACTCGGGCGCAAGGCCCTGCTCCTCCTCCCCTTTTACGCCCTCCCCCCAAACGGCGTCGTACCACGCCTGCCTCTCGGAACTGTGCATCATCTCCTCGCCGCGGATGGCGCTACTTCCACTGAAACCAGACGACGTACTGTGGTGACTGCGGTGGTGGGTGTCTAAAACACGACGAAAGAGGCGCTCGCCGGCTACGGGCGGGAGCACACGGACTTGTTTGGTGCCGTGGAGCTGGCAAAAGATGTTGTGGTTGGGGTCGCGGTGCCAGGGGGTGAAGGTGGGTTCGAGACCGAGCCAGATGCTGCTTGTGTAGATGTCTGCTGGGGGCGTGGTAGGTGTAGGTGTGGTCGTGGCTGAGGCTGAGGCTGAGGCTGAGGGTGTGGTTGTGTGGGATGGCGTTTCTGTGAGGAGTGCGGGAGTGGGAAGGCCATGCTGGAGGCTTGGAGGAAGGTTTGAGAGGGGCATCTGAGCGACGTAGAGCCTGGAAAGGCGCCTGGAAGGGTCGGCTTGGGTGGTGTTATATTGGCGAGCGGCGTCGAGTAAAGCGAGGGGCGCGTGGAAGCGTGCGAACCCGGGGGTTGCGGGAGACTCCCACTCGAGGAGTAGATGGTGTAATAGCTCGGCTAGGAGGCCGTGGTGGGGGACTTGGGATGATGTGTTCTTTAACCAGGTCTGGAAAGCCTTGAGGTTTGCGTTTAACACGCCCTCGATATCTGTCTTGTCGAGGACGACTTCATAGGCAGCAAGGGCTTGTCCATGTTTCCTGAAGTGTTGCGTGAAGCAAGCCCGCGTCCCATCAAGTTTAGTGAAGGCGAACCAATGGTTCAACGCCGGGATATGGGTTGACGAAGGAGGAAGACCACGGGTGTCTGGTGATGCGTCATTGGTAGGGCTGACTTGGTTCCGAAAAATTACAGCCTTCAGTTGGTTATCTGGAGCCCCCGTGAGGGCATAAAATTCGGACCTTGTCACCGGGGAATTGCCTTCATTGATAGCGGCAAGGTGCAGCAACCGCCTCGGGGCATTGGTTGTGGACTGGCGTTGGGCAAACTGCCGTAACGGCAATGTACACACCCGGTACATGACCTAAGGTGTTTGGTATGGTTGCCCAAGAAAACATTGATCGGTTCGGTTTGCGGGAGGCCTCCCGTACAGGGTTGGGGTTGATAGTGGGGGTCTCCGGCGCGGTTCTTTCGTGTGCGAGAGAAAACGCGGAAGCACGTGGTTCTAATTTAGAGTTGACCACTCACTCACTTCCATCCAGGTTTGACTTGGTTGCGGTGCACGGACCGCCGCCTGGCCGGGCTACCCCACCACGTGCCCACCAGCAGAAATCAACCAGGCTGCGGTTCTGGCCAAGCGGGCAGCCAGGGTCGCCGACACAACCACCAACCACATTGAATTATCACTGAAATCCGGAGCCCGACATCTCTTTGCGCCAGCCCGTCGTCGTCCACAACCTGCGATCTATACGCCCTCTGGGGCCATGTCACAATTATAGGACGGTCAACCTCTCTACGCGTCGGTCTAAGAACGAGAATTGCCGCGCAAATTTGACACGAGCGACGCCCCGACCCTCTTCCCCCCGCTTTCGTTAAGCGCGTGCGCGGTGCGCGCGGACGGCTTTGACCACGACGGCTCGCCCCTATTAGCCAGTGTCTCCCGCCCGATCCGAACCGCCGAATCTATTTCAAAGAGTGGATTCCGCTTTACTATCTCGATCTCATACCCCCCAACCTTTTGCGCAGAGCATCGAATTTGCCAGGATGTCAACATCTTCAGGAACCCCCGAGTCCTGGATCTCCTCTTTCTGTTCTCTTCTTGGGCACGAATACTTTGCCGAGGTATCTGAAGAGTTCATTGAAGATGACTTCAACCTTACGGGCCTACAAAACCAGGTGGCCATGTACAAGGAAGCTCTAGAGGTATGGATGTTAATCGCTTCCAACTTGTCATATTGCATGTTCTAGAAAGTAACACTTTTTTTCTAGATGATTCTTGATGTTGAACCGGAAGAAGACGAAGAGGAGGATGATGAAGAGGAAGAGGACGAGGAAGATATATCAGGGGACGCCCGAGACGGCCCAGGGCGAGAGCGGCGACACCACAGCCGCGTGGCAAGCGACTTGTCCGTCATTGAGTCTTCCGCCGAGATGCTTTACGGTTTAATCCACCAGCGCTTCATCTGCTCGAGGGCCGGCATTCAGCAGATGTCGGAGAAGTACGAGCTAGGCCATTTTGGCGTGTGCCCACGGACAAACTGCAACCAGACACGGACCCTTCCCGTCGGCCTCTCGGACATACCTGGGGAAGATACCGTCAAATTATTCTGCCCCTCATGCCTTGACGTATACGTCCCCCCAAACAGCCGATTCCAGACCGTCGATGGCGCCTTTTTCGGCCGCACATTTGGCGCCCTCTTCCTCCTAACTTTCCCCGAGTACGATCTTTCCCGCTCCGGCGCCGAAGCAGCAAGCAGCCTGGCCCGGACGGGCGAGGACCAAGCCATGATCAACGGCATGTATCCCAAGAATATTGCGCCAGGACTTGGCCGTAACAAGATTTATGAGCCCAAGATTTACGGTTTCCGAGTATCCGAGGTGGCAGACTCTGGCCCCCGTATGCAATGGCTGCGCGACAAGCCCGACGACCTGGCAATCCTGGATGAGGCCCGCAACTTCGCTGAGGAACACGACGCCGAGTCGGACGACGAGGATGACGATGACGAGGGCATGACCAACACGGGGCGGCACGGGACAAAGCGACAGTACAACTCGGTGATTAGGCAAAAACAAGGCCGTAATGGGACTGCTATGGAGGTGGATGCCAATGGGGCGGGCTCGGAACTCTGACACCTCACAGGGTTCAACGCTTCACAACGGCGCTTACTCTTCCCCCCATTCATCTTACCGCCGAATACGACCGAACTCCCAACCGATTTCACCCCAGGTTAGCATCATCGGCGTTTGTACTTTCGGTCTTAGGTTGTTGTTCTGGGTGGGAGAAATGAATGATATGATCTAGTTTTGAGACTGGCCCGTCAAGGTGTTGTCTGATAGGAGCAAGAGAAGGCGACGAGCGGATCGTAGGGTGGGGAAAAGCCGCTTCCCATTTGCATTCCCTTCATTCGTTTTTCCGTTGCTCGCGACATCTTGTACGCGCCTGGTATGGCATTGCGGTTGGATGTGGATCGTTCGGAGGGCGGATGCGATGTGATGGCAGTTGGGATGGGATTGGCGAAACAAGACGAGGGTTTTTACTTTTGATAGACTTGGGAATCAAGGCTTTTGCGTTTCCGGAATCAGGGCGTTGGTGTCGAAGATGCATGGATTTTGTGATGAGACATATGCGGTGCCGATTCCCCAGCGGCATGCATTAGCTTGCATCGTAGGCCAGCTAGTGGTTTCACGGCGGCTTGACGAATGTTTCCCGCTGGGGATGCTACACAGCAAAGAAACAGACACTCGGCCCGGGAAAAACGTCCTGTGGGGTCTTGGCTGCATCATAAGCTGGCTCAACAACCTCAAATGGTGGATGTTCAAAGGGATCACGTTACGAACGTTTCAATATTCCAGTCGTAAACATGTTGTCCAAACGCCCCATCTTGAGTTGCTTATTTATCCGTGCATCCCTGAATGTTTGCTAGGACGGTTTGACCATCATCTCCCTCATGCTCTTGTACATAGTATGTTTGCACGCAAACGCCAAACAATGCCTTGTTATTTCCATTGTCCCGCAACAATTTGGCCGTATGCGTACGAAGAGTCATGTTCGCGAGGGCTTCGCGCAACCACTGATTCGGAACACGGAGGGCGGTCGAAAAACCTCCCGACCCCGATGAGGCGAAGCCGACACGCATTGCTTGGCTCGGAGAGTCGGAGATGAGCGGGACGGCCTTGAGGTCTTGAAGCTCGGCAAATCTCAGGATAACAAACCAGGGTTGGTTCAATTGGGTTGAGCACTGCGAACAATTTCTCGTTGGAAAAAAAAATAAATCTTGCTCCTTCCCTTTTCAGCCGTTGCCAATGGTGCTCACCAATCGTTCAACATCGGGAATTTACTGTCCAACAACCCAGGTCTTGTGTCCGACTCGTTGCAGTTTCAGGTGAACCACCCTACATCGTACACTAAAATTATTAGGATAACGAAAGACCACCGCCATTTGTTGACTTATTCGGTTTTACCAGTTCTTGTCATCATGACCGGTCCCAAAACTGTTCCCAAGGTATTAGAGAAGCTTACGAATATTTGCACCTCGAATTTGTCAAAACAGCTTCCCCACCGATCCTTCCATTTCGGTTCTGCGGGGTCTGCTTGCCCCACTCGTAATTCCTGACACCCTTGACCATTGTGCCTTCCTCCGCCTTTTCGCCCTTCGTTGAGAGGGCGTCGTCCCGTGAAACAAATCAGGGGAGGCGGAAGCAACGGCGACGGTGGAATGTCTCAACAAGCAAGACATGCAGGTGCCTCTCATGTGGCAACTGCCCGACATTTCTTGGCATAAAAAAAGCCCTTGCTGTATTCGTCCGACCCGCTCTCCCGCTTTCGCTCACCCTGGGCATCCGGCCTTGCAGTCGCAACCACAGATGCAGGTTCGTTCCGCTCCGGGCTTCCGTTGCATCGACCAGAACGGCAAAAAGGAACGGCCACCAGTCGGGACTGCCCAATAATACCACAACTCAACCCCCGTCCCCCACATGCCGGGTGAGTCGACGCCGGGACTTGTCTCCCGCCCACACGCCCGGTCTCCAAGGTGCGAGGGTTCCCCACCTCCTGTTGACCTCTTTGCTTCTCGCTTTCTCTCTCTTTGCTCAAGCCTCGCGAGTTTCTGTCCGACCGCACCTTCGGTTTCGGGAAACGACTCAACAATGTCCGGAGTTCAGACCGACAGCTCGTTGACTGTTAATTGCACTTTCTGAAGCAACAATGTTGAGGTGGGGTCTAACAAGTCACTTTACTGTATTATAGCTTACTGCGTATCCCAAGAAACCACATTCGTAACCCCGACGGTTGCCGGCCGGGAACGTTCTTCTTTTTGACAAGAAGTCCATTTTGGTATAATGCCCCATCTTCAGTGGGGTCGGCGCAAAGCTCTTGAACCCCAAGAACCCCCATGCGGTGCCATCCGACAACGAGCCGCATCTCCGAACCACAAGGTTGCCATGTTGCACTGGGTTGGATTGGTCATGGTTTGGGAGCTGCCAAGCTTTTCATTTTGTCCGCCCTTTTCTTGAAAGCTTCCTTTTGTTCCCCCATCTCGAGTGAGCTCGTTGAATTCTCCCCTCTCACTCTTAAAACTGGACATCCCATTCCTTCACCAGGGGAGCTCGGTGGCCCACCTCGCACTCTCGGAGACCGACTCGAGTGGCAGTCACTCTTCACTCGCCCCCAGTGTAGTGTAGCTTGCCTCTCGCTCCCTTGCGTTGTTGATCTCGGTTTTCACGACCGACCTTCCGTTGATACATTCCATCCCTTACACTCTATACAATTTGCCCATGCGTCGTTCCCAGACCCGGTGATTCAGTATCTACGTCCGCTGCTGCTAGTGTTGCTCGGTTGATACCGGTACCAGTTGCAACGGAGACTCAACGATGACCTCGGACCCCGAGAAATCCGGCCTTGAGTCGGCGGCCCGGCCGATCAGCACCTCGTCGCCTTCTCGCGTATCCACTTCTTCCACGGCACGCAATGCTGGCGACCACGTTGAGGAGGCGCGCCGCAGCAACCCCAATGGCACTACAAGAGCGGAGGGCATCTCGGTTGAACAGGCCGAAGCCGATTTCGCTGACCTTCAGCGCGAACTCTCACATTTATCGCGTGCTAGCCAGCGCCGCAACGCTAAGAGTGACGAAAAGGGCGAAAAGGGCGAAAAGGGCGGCGTTGAAGCTGGGTCCGCTGCATCCGAAGAGACGTTTGAGCAGTTTGACTTGGAAGCTGTTCTAAGAGGCGACTTGGATGCTGAGAGGGAGGCCGGCATCCGACCGAAGCATATCGGCGTTTACTGGGACGGCTTGACTGTCAAAGGCGTTGGCGGCCAGACGAACTATGTCAAGACGTTTCCGGATGCATTTATCGACTTTTTCGACATCATCACGCCCATCCGACGGATGCTTGGTTTCGGCAAGAAAGGCACCGAATCTACCATCCTGAACGAATTTCGGGGTGTCTGCAAGCCTGGGGAGATGGTTCTGGTTCTGGGAAAGCCCGGATCTGGCTGCACCACTTTCCTCAAGACCATCGCTAACCAGCGCTTCGGTTATACTGGTGTCACCGGTGAGGTTTTGTACGGGCCCTTTGACGCCAAGGGGTTCCGGCAGTATCGCGGGGAGGCACTCTACAACGAGGAGGACGATGTTCACCACCCTACGCTTACTGTCGAGCAGACGCTCGGGTTTGCGCTCGACGTCAAAATTCCAGGCAAGCTGCCCAACGGTATCAATAGACAGCAGTTCAAGGAAAAGGTCGTCACTATGCTTCTGAAGATGTTCAACATTGAGCACACTCGCAAGACCATTGTCGGTAACCCGTTTGTCCGGGGCGTTTCTGGTGGCGAGAGGAAGCGAGTCTCAATCGCCGAGATGCTTATCAGCAACGCCTGCATTCTTTCCTGGGACAACAGCACCCGTGGCTTGGATGCCTCAACGGCCTTGGACTTTATGAAGTCTCTCCGCGTTCAAACCAATCTGTACAAGACTAGCACATTCGTTTCGCTGTACCAGGCCTCTGAGAATATCTACAATTTGTTCGACAAGGTGATGGTCATCGATGAGGGCAGGCAGGTGTACTTCGGCCCGGCATCCGAAGCGCGAGCATATTTTGAGGGACTTGGCTTCCTCCCCAGGCCGCGGCAGACTACACCAGACTATGTCACCGGATGTACAGATGCGTATGAACGCAAATACCAGGAGGGAAAATCCGCCGAGAACGCCCCGAACAGCCCGGCCACCCTGGAAGCCGCTTTCAAGGAGTCCCGATTCTCCAAGGACCTGGACGAAGAGATGTCAGCATACAAGAAGAACCTGGCGGAGGAGGCTGATCGGTACGAAGACTTCCGGGTAGCCGTCCGTGAGCAGAAGCGCCGTGGCACCTCCAAGAAATCGCCCTACTCGGTCGGATTTCACTCCCAGGTGTGGGCGCTCATGAAGCGCCAGTTTCTACTCAAGAAGCAGGATGTCTTGGCCCTCGTCCTCTCCTGGCTGCGGAACATCATCATCGCCATCGTCCTCGGTACTCTCTACTTGAATCTCGGTCATACATCCGCCAGCGCGTTCAGCAAGGGTGGTCTGTTGTTCATCGCCCTGCTCCACAACATCTTTAGCGCCTTCTCCGAACTCGCCGGGACCATGACGGGCCGCGCAGTGGTCAACAAGCACCGCGCTTATGCTTTTCACCGGCCGTCAGCGCTTTGGATTGCTCAGATCTTTGTTGATCAGATCTTTGCTGCGACACAGATTATGGTGTTTTCGCTCATCGTCTACTTCATGACCAACCTGGCTCGTGACGCCGGCGCATTCTTCACCTTCTACCTGTTGCTCTTGTCCGCCAACATGTCCATGACCCTTTTCTTCCGTATCTTGGGCTGCATCAGCCCAGACTTTGACTATGCCGTCAAGTTTGCGACCGTCAGCATCACGCTGATGATTACCACAGCCGGTTATTTGATCCGTAAGTTTCCCGGTGTCTCCATCGTTTAGAACCACGCCCTTTCATCTACCCTGATTCCTAGCGAGCTGGGCAACAGCGCTAACGGTTGATTAGAATACCAATCGGAAAAAGTGTGGTTGCGGTGGATTTACTACATCAACGTTGTCGGTCTCTCATTTAGTGCCTTGATGGAGAACGAATTTTCACGCTCCACGATGACCTGCACGGCCGAGTCTCTCATCCCCGCTGGTCCAGAGTACACGGATATCAATCACCAAGTCTGCACTCTCGCCGGCAGCAACCCAGGCACCCTCGAAATATCCGGTAACGATTATATCGAACAAGGGTTCTCGTACCTGCCAGGTCAACTTTGGCGTGACTGGGGCATTGTTGTCGCCATTATTGTCTTCTTCCTCATATTGAACGTCGTCGCCGGCGAGTTTGTCCGGCACGGGATGGGCGGAAACCAGGCTAAGGTGTTCCAGAAGCCAAACGCGGAGCGCAAGGCCCTGAACGACGAGCTGCTCCGGAAGCGAGACGAGAAGCGTCGAACGGGAGCGGAGGAGTCGGACTCATCGGACCTTAACATCAAGTCGGAAAGCATCCTCACCTGGGAAAATTTGTGCTACGAGGTTCCCGTTCCCGGCGGGACGCGGCAACTGCTAGATCACGTTTTTGGGTATGTCAAGCCGGGCCAGCTGACAGCGTTGATGGGTGCGTCTGGCGCTGGCAAGACGACGTTGTTGGACGTGTTGGCCGCCCGCAAGAATATCGGTGTTATCTCCGGGGATATCCAAGTGGATGGCGTCCGGCCGGGCAAGGAATTCCAACGCGGTACCTCATATGCGGAACAGCTCGACATCCACGATCCAACGCAGACAATCCGGGAGGCCCTGCGATTCTCGGCCGACCTGCGTCAACCTTATGACACTCCACGCGAGGAGAAGTACCGTTACGTCGAGGAGATCATTGCGCTCTTGGAGATGGACACGTTTGCGGATGCTATGATCGGTTCGCCCGAAGCTGGTCTCACGGTTGAACAACGGAAGCGTGTCACGATCGGCGTCGAACTCGCAGCCAAGCCGGAACTACTGCTTTTCCTTGACGAACCGACATCTGGGCTTGACAGCCAAAGCGCGTTCAACATCGTCCGGTTTCTCAAGAAGCTCGCTGCGGCGGGCCAGGCAATTCTCTGTACCATTCACCAACCGAACGCGGCGCTGTTTGAGAACTTTGACCGGCTGTTGCTACTCAAGTCGGGCGGGCGCTGCGTCTACTTTGGCGACATCGGCAAGGATGCCTGCGTCCTGCGCGACTATCTCACGCGGTACGGCGCTGAGCCCCGGGAGACAGACAACGTGGCTGAGTTCATGCTCGAGGCCATCGGTGCCGGCAGTTCACCGCGTATCGGCAACCGAGACTGGGGCGATATCTGGGTTGACAGTCCCGAATTTGTCCAAGTCCAGGCCGAGATTTCGCGGATGAAGGAACAACGCAAAGAAGCCGGCGCCCAGCGTAACCCGGATCTCGAGAGGGAATACGCCTCGCCGCTCTGGCACCAGCTCCGCGTTGTCATCCGACGCGCTAACCTGGCCCACTGGCGCATGCCCAACTACCTCTTCACCCGACTTTTCAACCACTTCGTCATCGCCCTGCTGACGGGTCTGACGTACCTCAACCTCGACAACTCGCGCCAGTCGCTGCAGTACAAGGTGTTTGTCATGTTCCAGGTGACCGTGCTGCCGGCCCTGATCATCTCCCAGATCGAGGTCATGTACCACGTCAAGCGTGCTATGTTCTTCCGCGAGCAGTCCAGCAAGATGTACAGCACCTTCGTCTTCTCCACCTCCCTCCTCGTCGCTGAGATGCCCTACAGCATTCTCTGCGCCGTCGCCTTCTTCCTACCACTGTACTACATGCCCGGCTTGCAAGCCGAATCCTCCCGGGCCGGCTACCAGTTCCTCATCATCCTGATCACCGAGATCTTCTCCGTCACCCTCGGCCAGGCCCTATCAGCCCTCACCCCGTCCCTGTTCATCTCCTCGCAGTTCGATCCCTTCATCTTCGTCACCTTCTCGCTCTTCTGCGGCGTCACCATCCCCGCGCCGCAGATGCCGGCCGGCTACCGCACCTGGTTGTACGAGCTGAACCCCTTCACTCGATTGATTGGTGGGATGGTGGTTACGGCGCTGCATGAGCTGCCGGTGGAGTGTGCGCCGGAAGAGCTGAACCGGTTTATTGCGCCGCCGGAGAGTGAGTCGTGCGGGAGTTATATGCGGGCATTCTTTGAAAATGGCGGGCCCGGGTATTTGGTGGATAGTAATGCGACAAGCAATTGCGAGTATTGTGCGTTTAAGGTGGGGGATGAGTTTTATGAGCCTTTGGGGTTGAGCTTTGACAATCGGTGGCGGGATTTGGGGATCTATATTGCCTTTATTGGGAGTAACTTGATCCTTTTGTTCGTTGCGGTACGTTCTCTCATCCTTTTTTCGTTTCTTACCGTCCCTTACACCCGCTCTTAACTCAATAATCCAGTACTGGGCTTGGAGAAAAGGTCACTCCTTGAACGTCTCTGTACTAACTTTTGAAACAGAGCCGATACCTCAACTATAACAGGCGGTAAAACAAAGTGAGTTGGGCTAGGTATGGGTGGTAATAGTCTCTGTGGTGCTAGGCAAGCGATCAAGTTGGGAGCTTGGAGATTGGATGGCGGCGAGCGCTGTTTAACCTTTTCAGCCAGGTTACTTACTGGACATCCGTGATATCTGTATCGTTTCAGAACATTGGCTTAGGCGTTTAAAAAGATGGGATCTGCAAGACGTAGAGAAGGAGCGCAGTGTACATACATAATTACTTACAGATTGCAAATTAAATAATTGTGCCAACATAACAACACGCTCTGTGATAGTGGTGACTCCGGGTATGGTTTGGAACTTCTTCTAAGGGGCTAGGAGTCGTTCTTAAAGGAGGTTGGATCATGTAAGTCATGATTCGTTTCAACTATCTTGAATTAGGAATGCAGAATACGATATGAAAACCTCAACCTAGGGGTAACGCAGCTCCTTCCACGGAGAAAAAAAGAACCCGCCCAATCCATACCCTATACCCTACTCCCCATGCACTAGGTTCCGTATTATCCCGCCCAAGACGCATATCTACCCTTAGTGGATTGTCTCCGGGTTCCCGGTTCCCGCCTCCTTAATCGGCTGCTGAGCCGACTCAGTAGCCGGTGCATTCGCCGGCGCAGCGCCAGGCACCGCCTCCTTCTCTGCACCAGACGCACCGGACGCACCAGCCGCCGCCCCCTGGCCCTGACCAAACTTGCCCAGCACCTTATCCAAGCCAAGACCCCTATACAGATCACCGCCAGACTCTTCCTTCTTCAAATCAGCCAAACGACGCGCCTCACTATGGATATCCTGCACCTGCCGCTGGCTGGTAGTGTAGAAATCGACGATACGCTTGCCCGTGGGCGTGTTAGTGGCTTTCTCAAAGTACGAGCCGAGCCCCGTGAACAGCGAGTTGGCGCGCTGCGTAATGCCGTAGCTGGCGTCGGCGGCGCGGGCGTGGTCGGTGGCGTGCGTGCGCTCGTCGAGGCGCCGCAGCGTGCTGACGAAGCGGTTGGTGATGCCGTGCTGCTCGTCGAGGGCGATGGCGCGCTGGAGACCGGTGTCGGCGACGAGGTAGCCGTGCGCGAGGACCTCGGCAAGGATCCGGCTGCGGGGCTTTTCCTCTTGGGTTAGGACCGAGGAGGCATCGTCGACGTCGCGGGTGGTGTCGGCTTGGTGGGTTGGGCTGGTGGTGTCGGTGTCGTTGCCGGTTACGAGGATCTCTTGGCCGCCGAGCTGGGTTTTGTTGAGGAGGAGGGCGGTGCGGGCGGCGGTTTCTTTTTCGAAGGTTACCGTGGCGGACTTGAGGTCGCCGGCCTCGGGGGTGATGTTGATCGTTGAGATCTTGCCGCTGAGTCTGGGTTAGCTCCCTCTCGAACCTTGAGAGCGCGATCACGGGGGTAATAAGTAAGGGAATAAAGCTTACCAGAAGCTAAAGAAATCCTTAATTTCCTTATCTTCCGTCTTGGCGCTGACGTTCTTCACGTAAACGGTGGTAGCCATGTTGACAGTTGGGGCGGTAATAGTTGGTGGGGGAGTGAACAGGAAGTTTCTGCCACGGAATCGCCCACAGAAGTAGAAGAGAGCCAGGCCGAAAGAAGCGGGGTAGTTGGACCCCAAACGGTCGGATAATGACGTAGGTTCAAGTCGGTTTTTAAGTTGCTCGAAAAAAATCTGAGTAAGGGAAGAATCCGATTGAGGCAAATTTACCTAATAAAACTTAGTTTAGCTCTGTAGGAAGCCATAATGTCTAAGAAAAGGAGCCGGTTTTCTTTTTAAACACTAGGACGCGTGCAAGGCGTGTTGTTTGTTGAGGGGAGACGTCATGGCCCACCTGTGGGGCAAATAAATGTGGCTGTGTAACCGTCGCTTTCTGAGGCATTGCTGATGCATGCATGTGATTCCACATGCTTCCTACTAGGTCCGGCATGAGTTGTGGCTTGTTACAGGGATATAGTATTCCCGCGGTTCCTACGTTAGTGTCCTTTCGGTCGCTCCGACAGTACCTCCTGTAAAGTGAAGGCATTCAGCGTTTCGAAATTTAGCACAAACGTCGGCAGCAGATGCCAGATCCGTAGATATTTGGTCATGTCATTTGTTATGATGTGTACTAGTCGAAAAATATAGGAGCATCGTTCGTTTCCCCAGTCACTAACGCTGGCATTTTGAACAAAAAGGCTGAAGGAAAAATGAAACCTTCCAACACTCAAGAGCTCGGCTTGGCGGCTGTTTTGGCAAATTTCCTGTCAACCTCGTCTTCTAACGGGCCCCGCGGGTTCGATGTGAGATTCTAGTGTAGTTGGTGGTCAGCCGCCGATCATGGAGAGCCAAGAATGGCTGGTTGAAACTAACCTTAAGGGCCTCCTTATTGGCCTCCTCTTTATGCGACGCATCATCGGTTCCCTTGCCGGTTCCGGGGACGTCGTGCATCTGTTTGCCCGTGGACCGCTCCGGGGGAGGTGACTGACCGCCTTCGGGCATGTTGGCTGCGTTTTGACGGAAGGATATTTTCCAAGGTATTTGTTAAGGGTTGAGGCCTAGTTTAGTGGCTGGGTTAGCTAAGAAGCACAAGATAGGGAAGTCAATTGGAAGCTCACCTACGTTTGCTTTGGCAAATTGGTGCTTTGCCCTTATTTTCAACTTGTGAGATGTTCTTGGATATAGTCTGCGAACAGTGAAACATATGAGATATCTCTTATAAATGCCCCTCGACTGCACGTTGACATCAGTGCTCTTCTCTTCAACTCGTCATTACATCATGGACTACCTTGATGGAGACTGTCAAACAGCTCCTGTGGGGACCTTCCTTGGCAAAAGAAACGGCCCAGCCCACTCCGATTTGTGGGGAACTTTTTATCTCTGCATCAGCACTTCGCGCCTCATTTTACTCCTGAGCCGATGTCAACAAGAATCCAGCCATAATGCCAGAGGTTCTCTGGTATTTGGGACGAAGGTAGTAATCTTAGCTTAGACTTCTGCGAAGCGCCCAGAATGTCATCTATTCCCGTATGGACGGCTAGCCGGACACTCTCATGCTTCTTGTTTCAAGTTTATTGCGCGAGTCGGAACCCCGGGGTTCTGCCATGACACAACACGTTGAGGTAATACGTCGGGCGCTGCTGGCTGGAAACCGCATAGAAGTCGGGTCCGGAGCGCATATCTTCAAACTGACACGATGTTGATGACAGTTGTTCCATTGTCGTGAAACCAACGGCTCCGCACTGAGAGCCATGGGCAATCAACAATCTAGAGCTTCAGTAGGGTGTGTTAAGTCATATATGGCTGGCGAAAAACACAGAATGAGCTAGAGACTACTGAAAAGAGCGACGGAGAGAACTTTCTCTTGTTCGGTTCCGATCAATTGAGCAACAGTTCGCCGAGTTGGAAAGCTCAAAATTACGACATATGCCGCAGACCAGATGTATGACAATACATCATCGTTGTCAAAGATGCTGCAAAAATGTGATGTATTGTGTAATGTTCCGTATCATTGCCCTTGCCGGTTCCGGTACAGTGAGCCGGGGTCACCTGCGGCCCGTGATGTGGGGTTCCCTGCACAAACTCCCCCACCCCTCCACCGCTCCATACTTCTCCAACACCGACCTTCTTTCCATCTCCGCCCTACGATTGCGCTTCCACCGGACTTCCCAGGCCATTCGTTATCTGCGCTTCATTAGCCACGCATCGGCGAAGCCACTCTTTTTCTCGCATCATTTGATTTTCTGCGCGGCCCTTGATCGATATCTTGTTCAATCGCCAGTTAGCACTTGTTCGTCACAGCGCCCAGCTGTGGGTCCCAAGGCCCCTGGTCTCAACTCGAACTGCATAACCATCACTGCAAAGTTCAACAGACATTGTTCCGGCGATGCCCGATCTCAACTCTGTTCCGCCGTCTCCCCATGCTCTTGCAAGCCAGTCGCGTCAGACATCACAGCAACAAATGCCGCCGCCGCCAGCGCCGACTTCCCCCTCGCTCAACATCCTCCCTTCGAACCAAGTCGCCGTGAATGCATCAACCTCATCCAGTCTCCCGTCTCCTGGTTTCCAGCCCGCAACCTCTCTCCCGGGTCAAGCAATGGGCGACAACACCGGTGTAGGCCCTGGGCCAGGACCTCTGCGGCACCCGCGGCCCATAACCGCCGCTGACCTCCATCTGCAGCTCGAGAAGGAACAAGAGGCAGTGGTAAGGTTCACAGCCGTCTCCAGATTTGGCCTCTAGCTAACCAAAGTTGTCCAGGTCAACCGCCTTACCCGCGAATTGTCAGTCCTCCGTGCTGCCCAAAACGCGTCGGTCGTGTCGAACGCGTCGTCCACCTCAGCTAGCGCCTCGGGTACCGAGCCCGCCCCATGGAGCGATGGCGTCTCCCAACATCCCAGCCTCGGCTCGAGTCACTACCAGCCCGTCCGCCATCAGCGCACTTCATCCAGTGCCAGCTCTCGCAGTCTCGTTGCAAATGCCGGCTCCGTCTCAGCGGCCTCTGTCATCGGCATCTCTTCGCCTGCCCCTGTCCGCCCGACTGCCCAACCCCCGATCCCCATTATGGGCACTGGTGGCGTGCCCCTCAGTCGCCAAAACAGTAGCGCCTCCCGTCGCAGCCGCACCGGCTCCCCGTCTCCGGCCCCTCACTCGCTCTCTGGAAGCTACACGCACCATCACCACCATCATCCTGCCGGCGAACCGGGCTCGCTACCGGGGTACTTCGCATCACGCAATCCCACGTCTGTTCCCATCCCGATTCGATCGCAGTCCGGTGCATCTGTGGCGACGACCACGAGCGAACTGTCCCCGGGGATCATGCAAGCTACTTCACGATTCGAAGAAACCGCCCTTCGCCGTGCCGAGCTGGAAGAGTACAAACGGGAGAACGAGGCGCTGCGCCGACGAGTCCAGGAACTGGAGAAATTGGTACGAGATGCCGCAGCGAAGAAGGATGAGGGAGGTAATGCGCCTCAACAGCAACAGCAATCGCAACAACAGCAGCCACAACGACAACCAGAGACTGAACAATCACCGCCGCTGCCACAGCCGACGCAGCAGCAGGCTCAACACCCGCTGGTAACTCGTCCGAGGGCGGCAAGCGGAGCTAGTGTATCGGTGAGAAGTGTGGTGGGTGTTGGCGTTCCAGAAGAGGAAGTCGTTGTGGGTGAGAGTGCCGCGAGTGCGGCTGCGGGGAGGGGAGAGGGGGCAAGCGGGGAGAACTGAGCTTGGTGAAACTTCTGTCCGCAATTGAGGGGATTTCTGTTGGCTTTTCCATGCTTCCTTTCTTTTTAAACCCCCATATCTTCGCCTTTTTACATTTTTCCTTCCACGCTTTGGGCACATTCCGTTGACCCCGATGTCCGGTCCCATCTTTCCACCCTCCCTTCATTGTGGTTTCTTTACTTCCTTGCGGTGTTTTGAGGTGTGTGAAAATAGTGATTTTAATGGGTGTTGGCTTACACCTTGAGTTCTCCCACGCCGGGTGCGATTTCATTACCTGGTTGCTTGTTTCATTCTACGTCTATTTCCTGTTCTCTCCGCCTAGCACCGGGTTGTTTGGTAAATGGGGGCATTTGGACCAACCGCTCAATTGATAAGTGATATATTCACTTTTTGGCTCTCACCTTTTTTCCTTGTCGGTTCAATGTAATCTTGGGGTTTGTTTTGTGACTCCTATGCAGCGTGGTACAGTGCAGTAAGGCAGTGGTCTCGGTTGAGGGGTGACAGCGGTTGGTGTTGTATCATTGTTGAGTGGCTGATGTTATGGACGGAAAGTTGAGGATATTGGCAGTCGGTTGCTGGGCCTAAACATGGAGGTGTGTGCGTGCATTGGGGGGAAACATCAGGGGGCACTTGGGATTGGGGTTTTGCGCTGGCGGGAGGGAAAAAACACCATGGTCGAACCCCCGAATCTTTCCTCACTCTCTTTTCCGAACCTCCTAACCTCCGAACCGCGCCGCGATATTCACGGCCCCGCAGCGGTGCGTTCAATAAACGCCGCCAGGGTTCCCGGTGTATGATCACCATCCAACCGACTGCTTTTAGAGAGGGCTGCTCTGTTCACCTAGTGCACTATTCGACCACCAGACGCTCGCTTCAACCGTCAAGGTACCACCAGACAAGATGTCCATTCACTGCTTCGAAGCCTGCAACAACTGCGAGGAGTTCATCCACCTGCTGTCCTACAACAAACCTTGCGACCAAGTAGCCTACAGGCTCAAGTCTGGAGATCTACATCCCATATGCGGACAAATACATACAGATCCTCATTAACGACACCAGTAGGCTCGGTTGTTTTTATGAAAGGATGTTCGTCAACCATGCACAGGCTGCAGAGCCAAAGGAAAGAAGGTGTTAGGCACCGGGCCTGGGGGAACGGTCTGGGTCACGGGAGAAAAGGGAATGAGCTCGATCTATTTCCCCCTGGCCTCCCCATTGCAGGCCAGACTCTGCCAAGGGCCGCCTGGTCGAGTGGGATAGGGTTGCGCTCAATATTATACAGCTGGCTCGGGCACTGTCGGGTGCACTGTGCGTACTGCGGGCAAGCAAGAGGTTTTGTAGGACGCGGGCACGGGGGAGTGGGGGGTTGGACCGAATCTGCCTTGTTGCGACTGAGTTTTTTGCTTTTTGCCTTATTGTGGTTTCTCTTCTGGTATAGGTTGATCCGAGCCTGCCTTATCGTGACTGAGCCATTTGTTCCCTTCTTTTCTTTTTCTTTCTCCCTTTTGCACCACCGTCCTCGTCGCCGTCACACCAGGCCCCTTATCCAGCGGATTCACTGCCCTCTTCTTCAACGACCGACCACCTCCATACCCATTCCCATTCCCATTCCCATTCCCATTCCCATTCCCATTCCCATTCCCATTCCCATTC